TGTTATGATTATGTTTATAAAATGCCCGCCCAAATTGTGGCACATAATTGATTATGGGACATAAATTAAACATAATTAAATATCAAAATGGTAGTAATGGATTACAAAAATGCATTTGCTTGATCTGAAAGGAATTCTGTCATGTTTTCAGGACAAAAATTCTAAATTCTCTCATTGATTACACATGGTATTTCACAGTCCGAAAATATTTAAGTCATTTCTTTACAAGAGTACGTATGAGCTATTTTTTTCTTTTGGTTGAAATCAACCCATTATTTAAGTTGAAAGAAGAGGTAGAATGATGTGTATTTCCAATAATACACAGATAATTTCAAAATTATAAAATAAACTGTTCTCTATTCGAGGCTGTTTACCTTTTCTAACTACTTCTAAATAAACATAATCAAATTATGACATATAAACTTATCATAACAGTATCAATGTTTGAAAAGAAGGCAGCAGATAAGGATACAAAGGAAAAAAGAAAGAAAATTTCTATTTTAAATAAATGTACAGGTAGTCATCAACTTATGACCACAATTGGGACTGTAATTTTCATTGCTAAGCAAAGAGGTTGTTAAGTGAGTCACACCCAATTTCATGGTTTTGCTTTTTTTTGCTGTAGTCATTAAGCAAATCACTATGGTCATTAAATGAATCATTAATTGAATTTTTATTTTTCCATTGACTTTGCTTGTTGGAAGCTAAGCGAGAAGGTCACAAATAGCAGGCACGTAACATTGGGACCCTTGAACTATCATAAATACATGCCAGTTGCCAAGTGCCCAAATTGTGATCAAATGACCTAGGGACACACAATAGTTGGAAGTGTAGGACCAGTTGTGTTTTTTCAGCATCGTTGTAACTTTGAATGGTTGCTAAATGAATGGTTATAAATCGAGGACAACCTGTATACTTGGTAACCAGAGCCATTATACAGAGCCACTTTTTCTCCAGTCTTTAGCCCATCAACTTTCCTTAGTCTTTCTTTGAATGAATGTAATTTTATCTCCAGTTACTTTTTCATTGAAGGGACAAGGGCAGTGATGGCTAACCTTTTTGTCATCGCGTGCCGAAAGTGTGCGCATGCGTGCAGGTGCATGTGTGCATGGACCCATAATGCAATGCATGTGCGACCCCCTCTCCCTGCGCATGTGTGTGCGACCCCCCTGTGCACCATACACCTCCACGCATGTGTGTGTGAGACTCCCTGCATGTGCCGCACACCTCTGTACATGCGAGCACTTTTCCCACACGCGCCCGGCCCCCTGTGCATGCACGGCAGTTACCAGACAATCAGCTGGCTGGCAGGAGGTGCACGTGCATGCGCAGTAGATCTGTTCCAGGCGACGGCTCGCGTTCCAGCTGAAATGGCTCTGTGTGCCACTTCTGGCACGCGTGTCATAGGTTCGCTATCATGTGATTAGGGGTAAATATTATTAACAGGTAGTCTGTTTTTATAATGTTTTCTGTCTGAAGTGTGGCTTTGCTCAAGGCTGTAATAGGGTTCAATTAGTTTCTCTCCCCCAGATGAATGAAATAGCCCTCAGAAGGATTAGGGTACATGAAATGCAACCTTTTTTTTTTTTCTGGCCGAAAGACTCAGCTCATTTAAAACCTGTCTCTAGAAACTTTTGACATTGGCTTCAGATGAGATTAGCTCTTAGCCACTAACTTGTTATTCCCTGCCATTTCTTTCCCAAAGAAAATGAAGCAGCTAAAACTGTGGTTTCATGGATAAAAGAATAGCCACTGATGAGAAAGAGAAGGATAAAACTTACCCTTGTAGAAGGCTCAAGTAATACTATGACCTTTATCAGATTGTATGGATTGTATAGCTTCTGCTGCATTCTATACTGCAAATGAATAAGGTAAGCTAGAGGACAAAGCAGTGCTCCTCCTCTGCTTTTCTATATTAAGAATCTTTTCAGAAGGCTTAATCCTTGCGATTCCCTGGAGCCTTTTCAAGCATTTGACAGGTAATCTGAAGTTTTATTTTGTTTTGGGATGAGTTCATTTTTCTTCCTGAAGACAATAATTCAAAAATATTTTGTTTGGAGATCAGCTAACTTTAACCACTAAATGTTTGGTTTTCTTACCTGTATGAATGTATATTTACTGTATTTCAAGTTAAGGTAATTATTTACAAACAATTCCTAACTCTAGAAAAGAGTACAATTATCCTGGAGTCTGAAAACATGAACCAATGAAACAAGCTAATCACATGGAGACCTCACTATCATAGCAATGGACCAGTATTTTCCCATTCTCAGTAACAGATTCTTCTTCTGCACATTAAAGTGTTATATTTCTTCTTTTATTTTTATTTCTCTTTATTTTCTGTAGTGAAGTCTCAGCTGAATAAAAAATAAATAGTTAATAAAGAATAGTTGGAGCAAGCAAATTATGACAGCTATTGACCAATTTAGGTCAAGTTTGAAAGATGTTTCCAATTTTGCTAGTTTTTCTAGTTATGTCTTTCCTTTATATCTTACAGAGTCATTTGTCAGTCTATGCCTAAAGGTACCTAATCCTCTAGAATTAATTTTCAGGGAACAGAATTAGAGAATTTCTACTAATGGGAATTCTGTGCTCTTTCGTTTGTAGGATATAAGATATAATCATGGTCAGTAATTTATTAACTCTAAGTAATACATTTATTCTAAAGAAACAGTATTAAGATGTTTGTTTGAAATCATATTTGTAAAGTTTAAAATATTTCTGAACTTCTACACATATCAAATTTATTTTTTTTAACTAAAAAGTGTTTATTCCAGTCAAATAAACTTCTATATTAATATGAAAAACTATTTCTGAATAAAGAACATTGTGATAACAACCATTATTTTTTTTAAAAAATATACTCAATAAACATATTGTCTATTTTGACAAAATAAAATATCTGTAATTAGAATGTACAATCTTCTAAGAAGGAAAATTATCACTGTATTTTTTAAATCAATATTGAAAATGTTACCAATTTTATCAAATCAATATAAAAGATTCTACTAGATGTTAAGGTAAGAGGAAGGGTTTTGCAATCTTAAAACTGACAAACATGATATATACATGGTTGATGTATCACTGCCTACTCTTAATAAATAAAAGCCCTTGAGTGGAGCTTGACTCTTGAGGACTACTTAGACTTGTAATATTATGAAAACACATTTTACCAGAATCCCTTCTCAGTGATATGTTGTAACCTGCATCTCATAACTTGGCATATACATTTGAGAGTCTCACAATGATTGTTGTGTCTTCCAAGGATGAAGTGGGAAAGCTAAATTGTTGGAAGTGGAAAACAGGTGCATATGATTAAAAAATGATATTTGGTAAAGATGAAGTCAACATTTCACTTTTCAGACACTACAGTGAACAGTGAAAGAAAGGAGAGGAGACATTATGAATAGAACATAATGTAATATTCATTACTGTATGCCTTTTATATTTAAATAAAATTAATATAAAAATTAATGTAGAATGTGTCATATACATTGTATTTTCATGGAAAACAGAAAAAAAGAGATTATGAAGTCTGTAACTTAAATCAGATTTTATTTGAATGTTTATAAGAAGTATTTTCAGCGAGTCCAATTCTTGGGAATGTGTGTTTGTGTGTGTGTACAAAATCATTAACGTAGCTATTCATATGAAAGCTTCATAAAGTTGTACCCCATGCAAAATGTTTTCAGATGACTTAAATATATATATTATGCGTTATGGTTTGAGTTTCTGGCTGTTGGAAAATTGCTATAAGCAAAGAATAGAACAATTACAATAGAAACACATGCTGTCCAACGGTACAATTACAAAGGTGATGATTGCCAATATACAAGACTTGGAGAGTGATATGGTACATATCTTTCATTCATCATTAGTGAAATAACATTTCATTTAAGGAAACAAAACAATAGCTAGTAATGTAAACATAATGATTCAGAACCTGAACAGTTGTATCCTGGAAATGTGTTCGCACAAGGTTCCTTGATTATTTTTACCAGTGGATTGCTTGTTGTGCCTCACCATTGTTTCTGAAGAAAATATATTAGTTCTATAACAGTAAGAAACAATGTTGATATGTTGTAATAATTATTAAAATGTATTAATTGTTATCCAAATCAGTCAAGATAAAAAAGAATCTCAATAACAGACTATTTTTAAAAATAAAATCCAGGATTAATGTATTTTCCTCCACTGCACCCAAGTACAAATTAAAAAGTATCTTCTAATATGAGGCTAGTGTAATATAATTTTTTATTTGAGTTAATGATCTCACTGGGAAATTTAGGCTTCTGCACCTGCCCCAGAAACAAATGAGAGAGAATCAGAGCTTATTTCTTTGAATTTCAGGGAAACTGTTCCTTTGCTAAATGTACATTTTCATTTTAAATTTAGATAAATCTATAAAGTTAGTAATTTTTAAAAACCTTTATAGGATACATACAGTTCTTTGATTGGGAGGTCTCACATTCAGCATCTAGCACTGAAAAATATAGTGGATTATTGAGTTATTGTCTGAAGCCTTTAAAAACTAAATCCTTACTGCAGATTTAATTTATTTGACCATTTATTATACATGCATAACTCTGGGCAGATAACAGTTAAAATCAGAATAAAAATTGAGTAAAAACAATAGTTTAAAATAATAGAGATAACATAGCTACTGAAAACAAAAGTCTGAAACATATGTTTGTATGAATTTATAAGTTCATACATACACACATGCACACACATTATATGTAGGAACAAAATAAAAAGGTACATACAGTAAAAGTCTTGAAGGAAATTCAACAAAGTTTATATTCTTGTTTTTTTCTGAGCATGTAGCATAAGCATAAGTTCATCCATGAATGTCTGGAAACAACCATTTAATTTTAGAATCAGGAACTTTTTTATGATTAAAGCTGGTTTAACATCTTTACAAGATTCTTAACGTTCTTTTTTCTATTCCTTATTATTTCCTTTCCTGGGACAAACCAATCTGTTATCTTTTTTTCTAGATCATCTCCACCATCCATGGTTTGGAAGACACTGTCTGCAAACACTGCCAATTGTACCTAATTCCTGCTTCTTGCCCTCTGATGAACTCCTCTAAATTTCTGTATTCCATGGTGCATTTTTATGATGTAAAATGCATGATGAGGTGTTCTTCACTTGGATAATTTGCAACACCTCTGTGTTTGCCAAAAGAGAAATGCACAGCCCTAAAGTGGATACATCTGGTTTGATCAACTGAAGAAAGCAACCTGGACTTTTTCTCAAAGGTAAGATCAAGCTATGACAATTAACAAACTATGAAAATAAATTTGTCATGATTTCAAATCAATGGCTGGGTAAGACTAAATCATATTAGTTAAATAATCTTCATGTCTCTTACAATATCAAAACAAAAATTCTGTTGCATGACCATTTTAACACGTTTTCTGGGGTCCGGTAGACAGAATAATATTTTATGATGAATTAATTTCATTGTTAAGCATTAATTTTTACATTTCTGCAATTCTGGGCCTAATTTCCAAAATTGTATATTGCAAGACTTTATTTTGAGTTCAGATATGTAACTAAGGCTAACCTTCATTTTGTTTAATTCCTTATAATATTGAATTGCTGGTTTTGCTTCAAGTACTCCATCTCTTAAGGATTCTAGAATTTCAGGCACTTCTGGATTTCCTAAAGCATCTGGACTACACTGCTTCTTCAATCGGTCAGAATGGTTTTTCAGTTCTGTTTCCCTTCAGCTTTCCAAGAGTTACAGATGTTATATTATGCATGCCCCAGTGTATATTTACATGACTTCCACCACCACCTGTATTAGAAGGAGAAAGAAATCTCTTTTATGTTAATACAGTTTATGTGCAATGTCAGGAGTGTCAAACTCAAGGCCCACTGCTGGATCCATTCCATGGGGTGCTTAGATCTGGCCTGTGAGGCCACCCTGGAAACAGTGAAGGATCAGCCCGCTGTACCTCTGCCAGTGAAAATGGAGCTCAGGAGGGCCATGCACAGCTCCCCTCGAGTTCCATTTCCACTGGCAGAGGGCTGCAGGAGGCCACTGCAGCTGAAAACGGGTGTTGAACTGGCCATGCCCCCTGGCCACACCCTCCCTGGGCCCCTGAGGTCAGACACAATCCTGATGCAGCCCTCAATTAAATCGAGTTTGATGTCCCTGTCCTTTGTAGTACTTTCAGTTAATACTAATCATTAAGAAGCACTGTGTGGCCAGTTTTGTCCTATTTGGGATTCATCAGAGATGATACTGAGATATGGTTCTAGGAGGTTCAAATTTTCTACTATGAATTGAACTCATAGTCCTTTGCAGTTTAGACTAGACACAGGTCATTAATGTAAGGAACTATTTATCTAGCTCAGAGAATTGCAGAATTTGGGGTTTGTTTGAATAGTCTATACAACTACCTTTCCTAGTGAACAGGCAAATCTGAGACATTGTTTCCATTTCAACTGTTTCCCAAGAAAGTAATTGTTTGCTGTTCAGTTACAGGTGCCTCCAATTTGTAAAACTGTTTATAAATAATTAGAAAGAGTCTTGCCTTAGTACATAACTGACTCTCATTGACCTAAATTTAAGCTATAAACATGTTGCTTTTGTTGCTTCAAACAATAAACAAACTTTCTACCTTTCTCTCCTGATTTCCAAAAGTTTTCATTTATGTTTTTGAAAGAATGTTAAAATTGGTCTAAATGTAGTAGCTACATTTAACTTTAGCTATTATAAATATTTGGCATGAATCATATGTGGGGTAGGTAGCAATTTTTCATCTGTATAAAATTAAAGTCTCCTTTTATCTTTTTCTTTTTTTATTGAGTTGATAGCAAGAGTAGATTTGAGAATAAATGTTTCAAATGCATCCCAGAGATTTCATATTGTAGGAACAAATTTCCTGGCAGGATTACCTCTTGTTCTTGAAATGTAAGCATGCAACATCTCAAGTTTAAAAACAGCTGGCAATAAAAAGATTTCTTGAATGCCTTCTTCCTTGTAAATTAGCAAAGGCTTTTGTTTCTCTGCATCTAGAGGTAATTCGATTATTTTAAGTTGTTTCTGGTAATATGCCTGTACAGTTTAAATAGTTGAGTTTGCAGGCTTATTATGAGTTCATCATGAACTTGCTCTTTTTTCCTAAGATCTTAATTGTCATTTCATGAGAAAAAAGTAATAATTCTCTTCCACGCTTACAAATAGTTATTAAATTGAAGAACTTGAGATCTCATAATTTTAAGATTGCCATGGATCCCAGATATGCCATTTTAAGAACTTGTCAATTTATTTTCCATCTGTTTAGAGATTCACTGAAATTTCATTATTAACTCAGAGCACATTATTTCTTGTTGCTGGAATAGGAGTATATCAATGTTCAATGTAGCTCTAATTTGGCAGATAAAGGAATTATCCCCTACAATCCTTCTTTCCTCCAAAGTTGCTGTCTTGTGCAGTATGCAAGATTTGGGGATATAGCATCATAACCCAATGTATAGTTATACATGCCAGGTATATATGTAAACCGTGGGCTGTACTGGATATTTAAACAGTATCTTGACCCAATATATGGATCTGGTAAAATAAAAGAGATTGCGGTTTGTTGGTCAATTGCTAAAGTTTATCCATTTACTGTATAAATTCCAGAGACTCTAGGCCCATGATGGTGAACCTATGGCATGCGTGCCAGAAGTGGCACACAGAGCCACTTCTGCCGGCACATGAGAGGTCACCTGGAAGAGCCCCACTGCACATGAATGCATGCCCCCCGCCAGTCAGTTGATATCTGCTGCACACACGCGTGGAGAGACATGCATGTGGGAGATGTGCATGCATGCACAGAGGGGGAGGGTTGAATGCCCATGTGCAGAGGTGCACGTTGCATGCGCAGGGGGTCACATGCACATGCTCAGGGGATGGGGGAGTCACGCGTGCATTGCATCATGAGTGGAGGCATGCAAGCACACACACGTGCACGCACTTTTAGCACACAATGTGGAAAAGGTTAGCCATCACTGCTCTAGGCAGCATGCGGAATCAAACATGATATAACTCATATAATTTAAAAATATAAAATTTTGATAATTAACATAAAAAACAATAAATATATGGGTTTCTTGTGTCTGCTTAATCACAAAGGCCTTCCTAAAAAGCTATTTTTTTCTTATTCCTGGAGTACAGGGGGCATTATCTGTTCAAGGTGTAATTTGTTCAAAAGATGGAACAATTGTCTATTTTCATACCCTTGTCTATTATGTCTTGGTCTGTTGAAAGGGAACCTTCAACAGATATTCAGCAGATACTCAGATCTGGTGAATAGAATTTACTTGGATCATTTTTACACTACTCAGGCTCCAAAACATATAAAATATTCAATGGGTGATGTGGCAGAATTAAAACTCATAAATAATTCTCTCTTATTGGCATCCAGTGTCCCACATAAAACAGAGTTGCCTTGAGATAGGTGGCAAATAAATTTCTTATATAAATAAATGCATCATTTTTGTCACTTCAATGGATTTTGCCCATACAGTTTCCCATTCTACACGAATATGAGACATTTTACCCATAAAACATTTGATCAGACAATGCATAATTACCACATTTTCTAGTCCTGTTCTTCCATCTAATTGTCTGTGATACTATTAATAGAGCAATTGGCCAACTTTCTGAGGCTGGATGGACGCCAGAGAAATAGATGAAGATGATGGAATCTCATAGATGCTCTGTTTATGTTGACACTTTGGAATAGCCTCCTCCAGAATTTTGATCAACACCACACTACTGGCCTTATATAATTTATTATAGACTAAATTATTTTAGTAAGACTTTGATGGTATGAATTTATGCCACTCGTTATTGATTAGAGGATTTTTTTAACATGCACTTATGTTTGTTTAATTGCTTGCTATTTTACTTTTATACTGTGGAAATTTCATTGATTATTTTATGAATGTACATAAACCCTAAGATTCTCTTTTGATTGTGGTGGATGTAAGTCAAACAAATAAATACTTAGAATAGAATAACAGATTTGGAAGAAACCTTGGAGGTCTTCTAGTCCAACCCCCTTGTTCAGGCAGCAACCTCTATACCATTTTGGACAAATCAGAGGTGGTCTTCAGCAGGTTCTGACCAGTTCTGGAGAACCAGTAGCGGAAATTTTGAGTAGTTCAAAGAACCAGCAAATATCACCTCTGACTGGATATTTTACAGTATCCTTCCCCTGCCATGCCCACCAAGCCACACCCACAGAACCCGTAGTAAAAAAAAATTTGAATCCCACCCCTGGGACAAATGGTTGTCCAATCTCTTCTTAAAATCTTCCATTTACAACTTCTGGAAGCAAGGCATTCCACCAATTAATTGTTCTAACAGTTAGGAAATTTCTTCTTAATTCTAGGTTGTTTCTCTCCTTGATTAGTTTCTATCCATTGCTTCTTGTCCTGCTCTCAGGTGCTTTGGAGAATAGCTTGACTCCCTCAAGCTATTCATATAGATACCGTATTTCCCATGTATAAGCACCCCCTTTGTATAAGCCACCCCCTCAATTTTTGGACTGTGAAGTTTTGAAAAAAATATTTTATTAGAGAAACAAGTTATGAAGAAAGAAAATTTACAAAGAAACAAAATTCGACGTCTAGATCTACAACTTCGGTCATGACGCCGAAAGCGGTGCGGGCGACGCTAGCAATCTACGCATCGGAACGAGAGTAGGAACGAAGCATTCAGGCCGATGCCTAGCGTATGCATTTCTATCGCGTACTCGCACTCGTAATCGTATCATCACGTACAATTTTTACAAAAAAGTATAGCATACTGCTGGAAAACCAGTTTATTCCTACTTTATTATTTTATGCATTTTTCACGTATAAAAAGTGTACCTGCTTTGTATATGCCACCCCCCTACTTTTTGGGCTTGAAAATTTTGGAAAAAAGGGGTGGCTTATACATGGGGAAATACGGTATATGTATATAAGAATAGCTTGAGGGACTCACTCTTTCTCTCTCTCTCTCTCTCTCTCTCTCTCTCTCTCTCTCTCTCTCTCTCTCCTCCTAGTAAAAACAAAAGATTAAAATAAACCAAACATATATGATTAGAGAAAAATGGAATATATCTATGTATATCCTGCTGTAATAACCTATCTTTTGGCTAATTTAAAGCCAAAGGGGGACAGTTCTTGGATTACAAGGAGTGATTGCACAGCATGGATTGCTTTCACTGCTGATTGTAGATTATGCATGTAACCTCTTTCTGACAAGTCCCAC